CCCACTTTTTGATTGATAGAGCCGCATCTTCCCAAGCGTATTTCCAGCCGCCTACTGCACGTTCCCACAGTAAGAACCTGAACCTCCGCGTGAAGGTTCTTTGATGAAGACCACCTCTAGGCCATTGGAGCACTCTCAGGAGGCACATCCGCGTGAACTTCCGCGCATTTTACCTAAGTTGTGACGCCGCAAGCACCTTGAAGCCGCAGAGCGCACCCCCTACCTAATCCCCCCCCGGAAGCGAGCCAATCCGGGGGCGGTTCCCTCTCCACCCTCCATCCCTTCGCGCTTGGTGCTTTCCGGCCTCTTAGAAGAGGCCAGAAGGAGGGCGGAACTCTGTGATCCGGCCTGTGGTTTTCCGGCGGGACCGAAAAGAGGACGGGACCGAGTGTTCCGCTGGCAGAGCTTTGGTATCCAGCTCCCGCGACATGGCTTTCAATTTCGGGGCTCCCTCGGGCGCCTCGGGCACCGCTGCAGCCACAGCAGCCCCCGCGGGTGAGTGATCCTCCTGGCCCTTCCCGGGGGAAGGAAGGGAAGCTACTGGTCCGTGCCCCTCGGTCCGATACTTTCCGGTTTGGGGAATCCTGGGGTCTCCCGCCCGCGCGGAGTCTTGAGGGGCGTCAGGAAAGGGCAGGCGGCGGCCGAGCTGGCCGAGCGGCCCCTGAGGAGGTCTCGAGGGTACTCGAGGCCCAGCTCGGAGCTCGCGCGGCAGGCGTGGGTCTCCGCAGGGCCCTGCCCTCCCGGTTCGCTTCCCGCCTCCGAGGAGTCCGATTCTGTGAGATTGGACACTGCTCCCCTCTCCCCTCGCGCGAGACCCTCCCTCCCCTCTCCAGCTCAGTTTCCCCGACCCGGGAACGGTCACGTTCTTCCGCGGCCGGACTTGATCAGGACAGGGCTGGGGAGCCCCGGGCGCTCCCCTGCGGCTCCCTTGGTTCCAGCCTCGAACGGGCGGGAGTTTCGCCCCGGCCCCTTTTGGTGCTTGCTATGGGACTTCACGCTCCTGCGTCTTCCGTCTGTTTCCACCCCCTCTACTTTCTTAACCTCTTTGGAGCAAAGTCAGGTTTGGTCGCGTCTGTGAAATCTCTTGCTGATTCTTCTAATCTTTATCTTGCCTTTTTTTTTTTTCTTCTCCCCCCCCCCCTTTTTTTGAAAATTTTGTTTGTTTCTTTGCCTGTATGCCTATTAGGATTTGGTGGGCTTGAGACTGCCAACTCCACCGCCAGTGGGTTTAATTTTGGGGGTTTCGGATTAACTGCTAATCCTGCAGTGAACTTTAATATTGGGAATTTCGGTGTATCTACTACCTCGGCGACTCCGTTCAATTTTGGTAACAGTCTGGCAAGTGCAGGTAGATACTGCGGGTCGTATGTGTGACAAGTGTTGGGAGCTGGAGTCCAAGAATATTTCGTGGTTCCTAAAGTTTGAGAAAGAACAGTGACTTGTCTAATGAGGAAAGAAAATTCATTTCCTATTGTCGAATCAAAAACATTTGTATCAAATTTTGACTGTCTTAAACATGTGGTTTTGGAAAGTCTTGTAAGTTATTTTCCCTTGTTAAATTTACATTTCATCAAGTAGAATATATTTTCCAATGATAATTTGGCGTGGATTATTATTTCGAATGGAATAACTCATATTTTAGATACAGCTTTCAAAGTACAAACTCACCAGTCAGGCCCATTTTTCTGCAATTCTTGGACTCCTGCAGTCATTTTTTTTTTTTTTTCATTTTTTCCTTCATCTCTCATTGGGATTTCATTTTATTGTCCTTGTGTTTCCAAAGAGAAACAAGTCTTATACGAACAGCAGTAACCTATCTTGTTTTTTAACCTATTAATAATGATTGTAATATATTCCTATGGTCAGTTTGGGATATATTTCTATGAAGTATGTAATTAAAATACTTAAATAAAGAATCTCCAGTATTTTACCGAATTTTTGCTAACTGGCTCTCTCTGACAGCAATTTAATTTATTTTCTGATAACATTGAGTTCTAAGTGGTAGGCTAGGCATCTTTTCATTAAGAAAGATGATTGTGAGGATTTTTCTAACTATATGGATTGTTCGAAGCTCTTTAAAATTTCTGCAAAGCACAAGCTGTAATGAGTATATCTACTGATAATAGGTTTATGTGTGCTGAAATGCAATGGCCTTGTAAGAAATCTTCCTCCTCAGCTGCTCGTATATGAATGTGTTGTCCATAATCTTACATTATGGCTCCTAGGCCCATGCCAATTATATGCATTTAAACATCGCTTACTCCCTAAAATGTATCTGAGAAGTCTGGTGGTTGGTGCATTTACTTGTTACTTGCATTGTGAATGTCACTTTAGAATCTGAGTTGAAAACAGTTTGAGGAATATTGGGAAATTACGAACACAAAGTAATCCATTATCATTAAGCTATAGAATATTTGAAGTAGCCATGTAGCATTGTTGTTTGGTATGTTTACTTTTTCCCTGTTTGCTTAAAATTGGCACTGGGTAAAACAGGAACCTTATTTTAAAATTTGTGTTTCCAAATAAAGTCACCCAGCTCGTAATTTAACAACAATAAATAAATATGTCAGTTTTGTTTGATTCCATGTTCATTTGGAGTTACCGCTGTTTTGAATTGTGAAAATGTAACTGTGTTTTAACAATTTTTGTATATGTGAATTAACCTTCAGCAAAAGGCTGATAGAAATTTTTGTTTACTTTTAATTTTGTGTATCCTACAGATCCATTATTACTAATAAAACATTTTTGGTATTATGTAGCATGATAAAATATTGAATGTTTCTTAGTGTATAGCCAATTCAGATTTTATCATAGTTCTGTGAAAGTGAGGAGTATTGAAAAGAGATTAAGAACAATGCTTAATACTTCAGGTGGTTTTTATCAAAATGTTTTCAGTAGAAACTATACATAAATAGAATATTGTGTTGTGCCTGCATGTAGCATGTAGTCTGCTCTTGTAGTTTTCCTAATGAGATTTACTGGGTTGTAAGAAAAGCCATGACTTTCTTTTCTTTCTTTTTTGAGAAAGATCTTTGCTATAGGGCACATGTACTCACCAGAGAGACAGGAATCGAGAAATCACTCTCCAGGGTGGATGGCCATGCTGCATTCCCTTCTCCTCCATTTTTCTCTTGGGATCTTGGGCACACACACACACATGCCTGGCGTGAGTTTGAAGCCACTGGATCCAGGACTTGAACTGCATTAGACCAGGTGGGAGTCCAGCAATGTAGCCAATACACCATCTGCCGGTCCCTCTTATTTTTTTTTTATGCAAAAATGCATTACAACTTTTCCAACAACCCATTATGATTAACATCAAATGATTGGATTTTTATTATCTTCCGTGTTACAGTATAGAAGAATCTTGTATCCTAGAAATAGATTAAAGTTAAAATCCCAGAGGCTGGCCCCATAGCCTAATGGTTAAGGGACCTACAGCTCACATGACTAACCGTGGTTTGAAATTTGGGCCTGGTGGCTTAAAAAACAGGCTGGGCACATGTGCTTACTTACATGCCCCAAATCAGACAGGATGGAGAAATGAAAGACGAAATGGCAGTGTGACCACTTAGCATTGGGAGCATGTTTTCTCCCAGTCTTTCTCTCTCTTTCTTTTTCTGTCTCTGGAGCTCACATAACATCTGGCAATTAAAAAAAAAAAAAGTTGGAATCCCAGAAAACTATGACATAACCCTCAGCAGTGACGATTCAGACATTTGTCTTGGAAGTCAGTGAACACCACACTGATAACCAGCCCAGACTTACAGTAAAACAGACAAAGCATACTATTTTAGATTGGTTATCATTCCATTCCATTCACAGGTCAGGTTAGATGTGGTTAAGATAAATTTTGAGCTAGCATGTGGCACAGAATTTGGGGTGTCCGATCCCACATGGTCAGTCCCATGGCCAGCAGCTTGAAAATCATACCAGACGTGTGTACATGTGTGCCTAGAATCCTGAGAGAATGGAGGAGAAGGAATTGCAGCATGGCCAGCCCTTCTGGGGTTTGGTTTCTCACTTTCTCTGGCGAAGGCATGTGCCTTATAGCAAAACTGTGGAAAAAAAAAAAAAGATTGATTTTTATCTCCAGACTTATCTAAAAGTGAAATTTGTCAGTTTGCCAAACTTAATGCAGAAGCCTAGAGTAGCTCTGATTACCTTTCCTGCCACTGCATCCACTTGTGTTTTGTCCAGACATTATTTCTTCCTTCACAAAATATATCCTTGTTGTATAGTGGTAAGGATCTTGGTATGTTTCCTTTGAAAAGTTGCTTAGTCATTGACTGAGACTAAGTAGAAATATAGCTAATGTAGATGTGAATTCACCAAAACCAAGGTTGCAAACTGGCAACACAGTCTCCTGGTGTGATATTTTTGTCATGGTATTTTTAAAACATTTGAATTAGTTGTAAATAAATAAATGAGCCAGTTAAGGTTTAAAAACCAATTAATTTTACATAGAAAACCCAGACTTTCCAGTCTGTTGGAGGAAAAAACGGGAATATATCATGCTACTGAACTTTCATTCTTCTGCAGCAATACTCTGCTGGAATTTAGGAGCTGCTGCTGTTTTAAAAAACTGTTCACTTTAAATAGTTCCACCCAGTAGTAAATACTTTTTGTCTGTCTGTTCATGTTGTCAGTCTAAATCTTGTAGGCATTTGCAACCTTACTTTAAAAGTAATGCCTCGTCATTTTAGAGTTATGGCAGTAGGTTTAACATGTTTCCTCAGCTGAAACTTAATCACCCCTTTGACTCTGATAATTCTATTTCAACATAAAAATTTTAAAAACATTGTACCACTAATGAAGAAGTCATGTTGCAAGAAATAATCAGCTAAATGTTTAAAGTAGAGAAAGGAAAAATTAGATTAATATATTTTGACTTGACGTGTAGCAGTTTTGAAATAATTTGAAAAGAAATTGTCTTTATGTATATGAAAATTTCTTCCTTTCTATGTTTATCCTTTTATAATTAGGTGGGTTTGGAGGATTTGGGACAACAACTACTACTGCGGGTTCTGCGTTCAGCTTTTCCACCCCAGCTAACACAGGCACCACTGGTAAGAGACCATTTTAAGTCTTTTGTAGAACTAAATGAGATAAAGGTCAGTTTTTGTTTTTGTTTTTTAAACTTATACAATTTCAATTTTGTATTCAAAGGACTCTTTGGTGGTACTCAGAACAAAGGTTTTGGATTTGGTACTGCTTTTGGCACAACAACAGGAACTAGTACTGGGTTAGGTACTGGTTTGGGAACTGGACTGGGATTTGGAGGATTTAACACACAGCAGCAGCAGCAGACTAGTAAGTATGAAATGTCCATCTTGAGATATGAAACTGTAACAATAATATCTAACATTATCAAGTGCCCTGAAACACTCTCTTAGGACTGTCTTATTTTTTGAAGAATTATAAATACTCCAAAGTATTTCAAAAACTACTTTTCATGTTTATAAATGATGGCAACTAGGGAGAAGATTGTTTGGCATACTAGGATTTTAAGGTCCCTGTGTTTAGGATCATTCCATCTAAATTTGTTGTTATAGTTAGTAATATAGTAGCATTTCAGAAGCCTGCCATACTCCTCTCTCAATCACTTCCCCAACAAAGGAACTATGATCATTGCCCCCCATTTAAAAAAATTATTCAGTGATCTATTTATTTAATTCCATTAGTTGTTGTTATTTTTTATTTTGACCAGAAAGAGACAGAGAGAGGAAGGGAAAGTGAGAAAGCAAGCTACCAGGTCTGAGACTTGAACTGTGGTTGGCCATGTGGAAATCCAGCACCTTTATCAAGCATGTCACCTGCTGCTCCCCTCCCCCCATTTTTGTTTGAGATTTTAGCTACAGGGTGCTGCACTTGCCAGAGAGAGGGAGAGAAAGTTGGAAATCACCCTCTGGGGTGGATGGCCTTGCTATAATCTGTTCTCCATCATTCTCCTTTTGGGATTTTGGGCATGCACTCATATGTACCTAGTGTGATTTTCTTTTTCTTTTTTTAAGGGGTGTGTGCATTTGCCAGAGAGACAGAAAGTAAAAAACCACACCTTAGGGAGGATGGCCACACTGCAGTCCCTTCTCCTCCATTCTCCTCTCTGCATTTTGGGCACTCATGCACACACACCCAGAGTGAGTTTGAGGCTGCTGGGTCCAGGACTTGAACTGTAGTCGACTACATAGGAGTTCAGTGCCATAACCATTTTGTCATCTGCTGGTCCTCCCTAGTGTGACTTTTCAAGCTGCTGGGTCTAGGACTCAAACCATGGAGTCAGCTATATAGAATCTAGCACCTTAACCACCACACCACCTGCTGGCCCATGATCTTGACTTTTATGTGATCATTTCCTTGATTTTGTTTTTTTTGGGAGAGGTTTTTGCTATAGGGTGCATGAGCTCACCAGAAAGAGAGAGACAGAGAGATAGAAGCCGCGCCCCCTCTCCCCCCGCCTGGGGGGAGAGGGGTGGCCATGTTACAATCCCTTCTCCTCCATTCTCCTCTAGGGATCTTGGGCACACACACACACACGTACCTGGTGTGAGTTTAAGCTACCGGGTCCAGGACTCGAACTGTGGTCAACTACATGGGAGTTCAGCGACATAGCCATTATTATGCTAACTGCTGGTCCCCTTACTTTTCTGTATAGTTTTGTCACACAAGTGAGACAGGCAATTCTAGATCATTAAGGGCCTTACCTGCTGTTGAGTTTAATGTGTAAAGTCTATGGCCCCATTGTTTTACTTTTAAAACCTCTGATTGTTTAAGGTGTTTGCTGTCTGGATAAACCATCTCGGAAACATCTAATCTCAATTAACTGCTGATTTCCTGGACAGTACCTCTTATTCATTGGAGACTTTGGCAGGTGGCTATTAATCTTGCTTTTCTTAATTTATGCCATTAATCTCAGTTATTTTAACATCCACATAGCTATGTATTCAAATAACCATGCCCTCCCTCTATCCTTTATTCCAAAGACCTTCTCCATTTCACTTTAGCTATAATTCTTACCCTGGACCTTGCCAACCTCTGAAACTGTAATTCCAAAATCACTAATATTTACATTCCATAACCAAAATTGTTCAGTTGGCCTGTCTTTCCAACTACTTCAGTAAAGCTCTCTCTAAACTTCATCCTTAGAATCTTTAGACACACTTTGTGCTCTTCCCTATCTTCACTATAACTAGCTTAGATTCCATGGTTTTCTGTTTCAGCGACTTGCCAGTATGCTGAACTTTTTTCACATTTGCCTGAAAAAATATCCTAAACCTACCTGTATAAACCCAACTGTGTATCCAAATATTGCCCGATAGAAATCACATTGTACAGAAGAATGTATAGTATCTCTAAATTCTTTTCTTTTTAAGTAATTATTTAATTTAATTTATTTATTTCTTATTATTCGATTTGACCAGAGAGAGAGTGAGAGAGGGAGAGACGGAGAACACGAGAGCACACACCCAACTCCGGGATTCAAACCACGGAGAACGAGAGAGCACACACCCAACTCCGGGATTCAAACCCCACAGCTGGGGCTTCAACATTGCCTGGTAATCCTGCAGCATTTCTATTCTCACTCCTACTTTCTATATGTTCAGTAGTACTCCCTTTTTTTAGTGTCCCACTGTGCTGCTCGGGCTGGCCTCAGACTCATAGTCCTCCTGCCTCAGCCTCAAGTCTTGAGGATTCTAGACAAGCACCACTGTGCCCAGGCCTTATTACTTTTTTAAGGTTTATTTTATTTAGCTCTTCCTTGAGTGAGAAAGGCATAAGGAGACAATACCCACAATGGGGTCCCGACGTCACCATCCTCCCTCAGTGTCCCACAGCCCTGGGTCTTGTCAGAAGTACTGAGGTCTCGGGATATAAACCCAGAACATCCCCATGTGGCTCAGCCTCACAGTGTCACCACTGTGCCACTATACAGTCCCCATAGCAGTTATTTTAGATGTTTTTTCTCTTAAAATTGTTCTCACTATCAGCAGATGGCAGGACCCCTGCTGAGAGAAACCGGGTCTCATTGCAGTTCCTCTAGCTTCCCACCAGCAGATAATGTCCCCTCCTGTGTGCCCGTCGTTGCCTCTTTCCACTTTTGCTCTGGATCTCATAACCCCATGCCCTCTCGGCCTTGTCCTGTGGATTATTCTTCTGACTGTACCCTCACCACCAAAAGTCTTCAACTTATCTCCCCAGAGATCTTTCTCCTGCACATTTAAATAACCTAGTTTTATGTTTCTTAAAAATGACCAAAAAATGTTTTATTAATCTCACATTTATGTTAGCTACCACTCTCCTGCCTTTCACAACTCTCTGAATTGATTGTTAGAGAAGAGTAGAATCTACTACTGCAGTCCTCTGTTCCTCCCAGCTCATGCTATTCTGGTTTCTGTTTCTTGTATCAGTTAAGGTCATTGTTTCAAATCCAGTGAACGCTGAACTATTACTAACAAAATTCTAATAAAAAAAGATGATGATATCGGGACCAGCAGTTGGCATAATGGCAATGTCAGTGGACTCTCATGTAGTTCGAGTGCTGGACTTGGTGGCTTACACTCAAGCCGGGTGTGTGTGTGTGTGTAGCCAAGATCCCAAGAGGAGAATGGAGGAAAGGGGATTGTGGCGTGGCCATCCTCCCTGGGGGGTGATTTCTGACTTTCTGTCTCTGTCTCTCTCAGTCTTTCTGGTGAGTGCTCCACACCCCAAAAACAAAAAAAAAAAAACCCCCAAAAAAAAAAAAAAAAAAAAAAAAAGATGGTGATAGGTCCACCAGACATGTCATCAGAAGTCCAAATTTACCACTTTTTTCTTTTATGGTTGCTAAGTACTTTAAAGCAAAGTCCAAAGTCCAAACGTGTCGTTTCACCCCTACTTTCCTGTGCTGCTGCTTTCTTTAAAAACTTGGATGTGGGACTAGCAGATAGCATAAGGGTTATGTTGCTGGACTCCTACATAGTTAACCGCGGTTCAAGTCCTGGACCTGGTGGTTTAAACTCACGCTGGGCACGTGTGCGTGCGTGCTCAAGATCCTGAGAGGAGAATGGAGGAGAAGGGATTGTAATGTGGCCATCCTCCCTGAGGGATGATTTCTCATTTCATCTCTCTGTTTCTGTCTGTCCAGCGAGCGCACATGCCCCTATAGCAAAAATCTCTCTAGAAAAAAACCCAAAAAACAAAGTAGGTATTATTTTACCCTACAATAATTCCTTGGTGTTTTCTAATGTCCAATCCATAATCCAATTTTCTATAGTTCAACAGTTTTTTCTTCATTTTGTTTGAATGATGATCTAAAGAAGTTTTAGATTGATTTTCTTAAGTTCTTCTTAGTATAAGGAATTCTTCACTCTTTTTTTTTTTCCAGCATTAATTGTTTATTGGGCCAGTTATCTTGTGAGAAGTCCGCCGTCTAGATTTTCGTATTTGCATCCTTCTAATATAATTTAACTTCATTATCCCTTGCAGTTCTGGTAAATGAAGTTATCTTTAGGACTTAACTGGTTTCAGCTTTGACTTTTTGGCTAGAATACTTTGCAGCTAGTGCTATGTGCCGTGTATCATGTCATATTAAGAGGCTATTTCTTATTTGTCTGTTTGTTTAATTGGCAGAGGATGTGTACTTGCCAGGGCAGGAAGGCGGGGTGGGGGGAAGAAAAAAGGAGAAAGCACCCCCAGTGCAGTGTGGTCTCACACCACAGTTCCCTCTCTTCTACTCTCCATCCTGTCAGGATTTGGGGGCCACACACACGTGACTGGTATGTTTTTCAAGCTTTTGGGGCCAGGATGTAAAACACCATGTGGGATCTAGCTTTATTAACTACTAGGATACAGAACTGGCCGTGGCTGTCTCACTTTTAGTGGATTTTTTTTTCCTACCTTATTTGTAATAAAGAAAGATAATTGAAATTAAGTGTAAGGAAAATATAACAAGTGTTAATAAATTCAACCTTTGCCTTAATCTCTGAGTCTTAGATTTATTTGTTCTTCCTTTCATTAACAAGTGAGATGAGTGTGTTACAAGTGATAGAGGCATTCTGACACTAACTGCAGTGTAATGCATTATGCGTCTGGTGATGTTGGTGTAAACCTGCTGCACTGCCAGTCGTAATAATAATGATGAATAATAATACACATACTAGTGTAGGTCCTTCAAGAAGAGTTCCAGAAAAGGCATCGCTGTCATGGAAGATGGCAGCCGCATTATGTTATTGCTGTTAAAGACCTCTAGTAAGACGAGGCTGTGGAGGTGGAAGACAGTAATGTCACAGTCCTGACCAGTGTAAGCTTAGCTAATGTGTGTGTCTTTGTTTTTATTTTATTTTTTGAGCTTTGTGACTTTTTAAAATATTTATTTCATGTATTTATTTGTTGTGATTTTTTTTCAAGCCGCCCGGCCTGACACTTGAGCTGTGGTCTGCCATATGGGTATCCAGCACCTGAGCCACCACGTCACCTGCTGGCCCCAGGTGTCGTATTTTTTAACAAAAAAGTTTAAAAAGTAAAAAAAAAAAATACAATTTTTAAACAAAAAATGAATAGAAAAGTATTTTTATACATCTGTATAATGTTCATGGGTGTTTTGTTTTTTTTTTTTTAAATTGTGCTACAGGGCATGTGGGCTCACCAGAGAGATGGAGAAGAGGAAAAGTAAGAAAGCACTCCTTATAGGGGATGGTCACACTGCAATCCATTCTCTTCCGTTTCTCCTTTCAGGATTTTGGGCATGCATACACATGTGTCTGCATACATATATTTTTCAGGCTGCTGGATCTGGGACTTGAACCATGCAGTTGACCATGTGAGATGCAGGCACCCTAACCACCATACCACTAGCTGGCCCCAGTGTTCATGTTTTAAGTTAAATATCATTATAGAAGAGGCAAAGAGTTAAAGACTAAAAAGTTTATAAAGTTATAGTAAGCTAAAGTTAATTTACTATTGAAATTTTTTTTTGTAAGTTTAGAGTAGACTGAGCATGTGTCTTCATAAAGTCCACAATAGTGTATCGTAATGTCCTAGGCCTTCACATTCACTCACTGCTCACTCTTTGACTCACAGCAGTTTCCAGTCCTGCAGGATCCACTCTTGTTACGTGTACCATTTTTTATCTGCTATACTACATTCTATACCATTATACCTTCTCTGTGTTTTGATATATATTTACCGTGTTACGGTTGCCTGCAGTGTTCAGGACAGCCACGTGCTGTACAGGTTCTTAGCCAAGGGGCAATAGGCTCTACCATCTAGCCTAGGTGTGTAATAGGCTGTCCCATCTAAGTTTGCCTAAGTACATTCTCTGTCGGTCACGCGATGACGAAATCACCTAATGACATGTTCAAAATATCCCCATTGTTAAGCGACCCATGACTGTTTATCTGCTGTAAAAACTTGGCCCTTCTTTTCTTTGGAGAAACTGTAGCTTGAAAAGGTTAAGTGACTTTCTCAGTTACAGAGTTGTCTGGTTTTTTTTGTTTTTTTGTTTTTTGTTTTGTCTTATTTTTGTAATTAGAGAAGAAAAGTGTGTAGATGATGTTGATATAACAAGGAGGTTTTTTAAAGCTTATTTTATATCGCCCAATTTATATTACAGAAATACAACAGCAAGGGGCCTGCAAGTGGTGTAGTGGTTAAGGGCACTGAACTCCCACATGGTCGACCACAGCACATGGTGGCTTGTTTTCTCACTTTCTTTCTCTCTCTCTCCTCTCTCACTCTGTCCCTCTCTGGTCAAAATAAAATGAATAAATAAATACATAAAGTTAAATAAAATAATTCTTTTTTAAAAAGGAAATATAAGAGCTATAGAGTTGTTTAAAAAAAGATTCTGTAATTTTACAAACTTACTTTTCCATTCTATATGGATTCCTTTTTTTTTTGGTGTGGGTTTAATATTGTGGACTCAATTTGTGTTCTGGTAATGGAGTTCATTGTATTAAGACACATCATTGGAAAAGCAAGTTCATGATGTTTGTCCTTGTGTATTAGTTTCCTAGTGCTGTTACAAGTTACCACACATTTAGTGGTTTCAGACAATAGGACTTCTTGTATTTTACAGTTGTGGAGACCAGAAGTCCAGAAGTGGGTTTTCCTGCCCTGAGATCAAGGCGTTCTGGAGGCTCCAGGGGAGAATTGCTTTGTCTTTTCTAGCCAGGGAAAATCCAGGCTTTCCCTGCCTCTGTCTGTAATGCCAGCAGCATAGTGTCTTCAGATCTCACTCAGCTCTGGCACCCTTTTCAACTTTTAAGGACCCTTATGACTATATTGCGCCACCTTGATAATCCAGGATAATCTTGTCATTCATTGTGCTTAATTTAATGCCGCTGGTCAAGTCCCTCTTGCCATGTTAGATGGCATATTTGCAGGTTCTTGTAGGTTAGGGTATGAGCTTTCGGACCATTATTCTGCCTATTGTTCCTAGGATCTGAATTGACCAAGTTTTGTTCTTTTCTGTACTAAAATTTGGATACATTTTTAGCATTAGGTGGTCTCTTCAGCCAGCCTACACAAGCTCCTACCCAGTCCAACCAGCTGATAAATACTGCAAGTGCTCTTTCTGCCCCAACACTACTGGGAGATGAGAGAGATGCTATTTTGGCAAAATGGAATCAACTACAGGCCTTTTGGGGAACAGGGAAAGGATATTTCAACAATAACATCCCACCTGTGGAATTCACACAAGAAAATCCCTTCTGCCGATTTAAGGTATTAGTACTTTTGTGATCTTCATTTGACAGATGTGTGTAAGAGAGAATATGATATTGATATTAATTGCAAAACAATTGCTTTATTCTGTAGTATTCCTTGAACCATGGTATGGTTATTCTTTTATTTTAAAAGTACAGAATTATAAAATTAAAGTATGCACTTGAAGGCAATCAGAATATAACTGAAGGAGGGTGTAACTACAATGCATATGATTTTTTTTAAGAATTGTTTTATTCAGCTTTATTTATTCATTTATCCATTTTAATTTGACCAGAGATGTACAGAATGAGAAAGATATAGGGAAAGTGAGAAAGCAACTCACCACGTCTGGGACTCGAACCGCAGTTGGCCATGTGGGAGTCCAGCACCTTTAACCACCACACCACCTGCCAGCCCCGATGTATATGATTGAAAAGAATGTTAATAGAGGACGGAATTTAAAGTATGTGCTTGAAGGCAACCAGAATATAACTGAAGGAAGGTGTAACTACAATGTATATGATTTAAACTTGAAAAAAAAGTCAATAGAGGGTCTGTGAGTTGAGTGCAGGTTAAGGTGCTTAATCTCACATGACCAGCTTCGTGGTTAGAGTCCTGGACCTGGTGACTTGAGGGTCATGCTAGGTATGTGTGTGTGTGTGTTGGGGGCGGGGGGGGCAAAATTCTGAGAAGGGATTGTGGCATGACCGTCTTCCCCAGTGGGTGATTCCTCACTTTCTCCCTCTTTCCATCGGGTTAGCACGCATGCCCTATAGCAGAAACTAAAAACCAAAACAGAACAAAAAAATGTTAATAGAATAGGAATGGTCTGCTTGGCCCCTATCAAGTAGGTACCTAAAACTAGAATTTAGTGGTGTTCTTCTGACATTAGCCAGAAAAGTGCACCCTAATTAGTGGACAAGTGTCTTTCTTGGCATGTATAATGCTGTGGTTGTTTATAGGTGGAGGCCAGCTTTTAAAACAATATAGCCTATTGCTTACTTAGCAGACAACCTTCCTGTTTAAATTTGGCTGTTCAGAGAATCTTCACCAACCAGTGAGAGTATTTAGGTCTATTTGGCGATCATTTCGCATACTAATTAATGTAATACTTCAGCCTCTTAGTGTTGCTGGCTTACGTCAGTCTCTTAAACCTAGTCAGTGTGTACATGACCCTGTGTTCAGGGCTTCAAGACAGGAACAGTTCCTTCAACATAGTAATACAAGAAAAAGTAGTCAGCCTGTCTTACTAGAGAACATGTGTTTGTCTTATCACTGTAACTGAAAGAAGATGTGTCTTTAGGAAGGTATAACTGGTCATATTTATTATTATAGAAAAGTTAAAGCTATTTTATAAAGTTTCATATTGCATGGAATCATAAAATGAATGTTGATTATAGTATTTGTAAGGTGACCATGTCATTACTATACTTTCAAAGTATTTACATATATGTGTGTGTGTGTATAGAGAGAGAGTTTTTTTTTAACAGCTTTTTACCATAGGGCACTTGTGCTCGCTGGAGAGACAGAGGCATGAAGTGAGAAATCACACCCCAGGGGGGATGGCCACGCCACAGTCCCTTCTCCTTCTTGGAATTTTGGGCATGTACACACACGCTCCTGGCATGAGTTTGAAGCCGCAGGGTCCGGAACACAAACTGCAGTTGACTGTGGGAATCCAGTGACCTAACCATTATGCCATCTGCTGGTCTCTATTTTTTTTATTTATGTATAAAACTTAGTTTTAAGATTCTGTGAGTCAGGACTAGCCATGGTGGTCTGTGCTGCTGAGATGCTGTGCTTGGCAGGCTGGCATCACATGGGACACCCCAGCTTGATTTTCAGTCCTGCCTAAAGGCTGGCTATGGAGGCTGGTGCCTATGATCTCAGCAGCTCTCTGCAGTTCGGGAGGCTAAAGCTATTTGGGAGGATTGTGAGCTCAAGGGTTGCCTGGGCAACGAAGCAAGATCCTGTCTGAAAAAGAGCAGGGTATGGTAGTGTCTGTAGTCTCAGCTGGGATGCTGAGGCAGAATTGTGATATAGCCAGACACTATTTAGAAAATTTAAAAATGGCTGCATGAATTATATATGTTGTATAGTGAAATAAATTACTTGGTCTGAGACTTTTGTAGTCTTATTTTTTTCAAATTTAAAAAACTTTCTTTTTCTTTTTTTTTGGAGAGGTTTTTGCTGTGGGACACATGCACTTGCCAGAAAGAGAGAGACAGAGAGACAGAAAGCGAGAAATCAGTCCCCAGGGGGATGGCTACACCACAATCCCTTCTCCATTCTCCTCTCAGGATCTTGGGCACACAAGCACATGTGCTAGCGTGAGTTTAAGCCACCGAGTCTGGGACTCGAACCGGGGTTAACTACAAGGGAGTCCAGCAACATAGCCATTACGTCAACTGCTGGTCCCTCTCTTTCTTTCTTTCTTTTTTTTTATAAGAATCATTTATTTTATTCCATTTATTGTTATTATTATTATTATTATTATTTTAATTTGACCAGACAGAGACAGAGAGAAAAAGGG